CGTGACCGTCGTCGTCATCTTCATTCGCCGATCTGCATCGATCGAGCTCTGGAAAGCAAGAGTCGAGCTTTAGAAACCCTAGAAACACTGGAAAGGGAAAATTAGGCTCTGCAACAGTAGGAATTGGGAAATTAGGGTTTGGATAGTGGAATAATTTAGGGAAATTTTAGTAACGGCTCTCGAGATTTTAAGAAAAAAAATCAGTGGAAAGAAAACGAGTGATTTGGGTGAGACCAGGAGAAATGGGGGATGTATTTCGTGAGCCTGCGGAGTGGTCTAAGTTAACCGGTTCCGCCGCGGATTTTTGGGAGAACAATTTTTCAAAACAGACCCATTTAGTTTTTTATTTTTCAAAATCGACCGATTTTTCTTTTATTTATCAAAACCGACCCGATTTTGTGATTAGCAGGCTAATTACTATCCTAAATAGTCGGGGTTGCCAACCCCGACTATTTAGGATAGTGTTAAACCCTAATTAAAGACTTTAAACCCTAAAAATTAATGTCCTAAATAGTCGGGGTTGGCAACCTCGGCCCATATATCTACAGATTTTTTTCTAATTGTTTTTTGGTTGTATTTTCAATATTTTTGGAGGCTTATTATAATTTCTTTTGATAAAATAATTTTATTCTGATTTTATGATTGCATTAATATAATGTTAACATTTGATTTTGTAAGACCTTTGATGTCATATTGATGATTTAATTACTTGAAAAGATAATATTTGGATGGAAAATTCACAAATCAGTAACATGATAGAGCTTCACGTCTACCTTCTCTTTGGAATACTTTCTAAAGTTATGAACAAATAAAGAAAAGTTTATTTATTTAATTATTTTTATGGATTATTTTATTTATTCATTAGTATTTAATATGCTTCCAAAAGGTTTTATATGGAAAACTTTAATATAATTATATTCACATAGGATAACATGTCGTACCAGCTTCTCAGGGTGAACATTAACCAGTTTAAAGTGATTAAACCCGATCAAGTTTTGACGGTGCATTCTAGTGCTAGAGTATGTTTCGTTCGGTTCTGTTTTAGAAAATTCTATCTGTACAAATCGAACCGATTGCTCTCCCAACTGTCTAAAATGTATAATTTGTTTCTTTTATCAGTCCAAATTTTTTTAAAAAAAATTTCCTTAATTTTTTAATCAATTTAATTAATTAGTTTTTTTCTATTATTGATCCTTTAATCCACATTTTTCATCCAATCGTTCATATACATCTTTTCTTTTGGCCTAAGATAGATCTTTTTCTTAATTAAATAAGCCCAATGACAAATGGAATAGACTGGACCAAAACAAATGGTCTAAGTTTTGGTCAATTCGGTTTGGGTTCAATACAGAACGATTCGGTTCAAGATTGAGCAATTTCATCAAAACTGTCCAAACCGATCGTTTGGTCACCTCTACCAGGTACTACCAGTTGTATACAGGGACAACCATTATCATATCTTATTGAATGAAGTTTCCTCTTAATAAAAAATATATATATTAATATATGAAATGTTTATTATATACATTTCGTTCATAATGGAGAAAAATACTTTTTTGCATAACTAATAACTAGATGGAGAAAGTTTTTGCATGGGGTGGGGCACATATCAATCGAAGAGGGGAAAAAATTTACTTTCTATGAAAAAATATTTTAAAGGGAAAATTGCTTCTAGCCCGTAATTTCCTTATAATTATTCCACTCCCTCCAAAGACTTTTTCAACGCTTTCAAAACCACCAAAAGCAAACCCATAATTCTCTGACCCCTCAAAACACCAACCCCTTTAAGTTTACATATTTTTTGTATTTTTTTGAAATCGATGACTTGAAATTAAAGTAGAATATGTAAATTTATATATTGTTGTTATTTCATTGTAATAAGTTTAGTGTTAAGCTTATGAGTTGGTGGTGAAGGAATGTTACGTGTTGTTTTTGAAGGTTACGGGTTGGTTGTGAAGGATACACCTTGGTTGTGAAGGTGTTACATGTTGTTCGTGAAGGTTACGAGTTGGTTGTGAATGTTACATGCTATTTTTGAAGGTTATGGGTTGGTTGTGAAGGATACACATTGGTTGTGAATGTATTACGGGTTGGTTGTGAAGGTTACGAGTTGCTTGTGAAGGTTACAAGTTGCTTGTGAAGGTTACATGTTGATTGTTAATGTTACACGTTGGTTGTGAAGGTTACGCGTTGGTTGTAATGTTACATGTTGATTATTAAGGTTACGAGTTGGTTGTGAAGGTTACAGTTTTATTGTTAAAGTTGCGGGTTGTTTGAGAAGGTTACGGGTTGGTTGCGAACCTCGGAAAGAAGTTGATTGTGAAGGTTACATTCATAACCAACGTGTAACCTTCACAACTAACGCTTATCCTTAACAATCAACTCATAACCTTAACAACCAACCCATAACCTTCACAACCAACGCGTATCATTCACAACCAACCTGTAACATTCACAACCAACACTTATCCTTCACAACCAACTCGTAACCTTCTCAACCAACGCGTATCCTTCAAAAAAACACGACCAACCCGTAACCTTCACAACCAACACATATCCTTCACAATCAACCTGTAACCTTCAAAATCAACACGTAACCTTCATTCACCACTAATTCATAAGTTTAACAATAAACTTATTACAGTGAAATAACAACAATATATAAATTTACATACTCTATTTTTATCTTAAGTCATGGATTTTTAAAAAAAATTATAACAATATGTAAACTTAAGGGGATTGGCGACACAACTCCTCATCACCACCGTCTTCATGATTGGAGTTTTCTTCGGCTCATAAACGAACGCCAGTAAAGTTTAGAGAGAGAGAGAGAGAGAGAGAGAGTATTATGGTCTTCACATATTTTAAACTCTTAGGTTTTGTGTTTTGGGGCTCAGAGAATTATGAGTTTGCTTTTTGGGGTATTGTGAGTGTTGAAAAAGTCTTAGGAGGGGGTGGAATAGTTGTAAGGAAATTAGGGGCTAGAAGCAATTTTCCCTATTTTAAAAAAGCGGTAAAGTAACATTTCTTGCCCCTTATCTTTCTTTTTATTTAAAACTATATTCTGTAGGCGTCAAAAATTACGTATAGGTTCCCGAACACAGCTCAAGACGAAGAGAGGGAGAAGGACGTCATTGTCTAAGTCAGGGAAGATCATCCGAGGGCTAGCTGAAGCAAAAGGAAGCAAGGAAAACACAAAGAATGACAACTCAAAGAGACTATAGTTTTCGAGACAGTGTCACTATAGTTTCCGAGACAGTGTCAACTATCTCAGAAATGCGAGACATTGTTGGTGTCTCGAAAAACTATTGGTGTCTCAAAAATGCGAAACACTGTTGGTGTCTCGGAAATGGTGAGGCAGTATGACGTCCCTTTTGATATTTTTTTTAGACTTTGTGTGACCAACGTGGCTTCATAACTGCTTGGGATCATCCATAAACATGGGAAGGCCATTACAAACTGAAGAGACACTCAAAATCCCCAAAAATCACGGTATTTAACAGATTGAACGTCGGTTACAAAACTGCCTGGAACGACCCCTTTGTCCGAGACATTGGATACTGTCTCAGAAATAGGAATTGTCGGTTGTGAGTTGTTTCAACTTCTTATCTTCAGAAACGGTTCCCAGGGTCTATAAATACTTCCCCTACATCCTTGTGCACGAGAGAGCTAATTGGCAGCAGAGAATTGGCATTGTGGTGAGCTTTGTGATCCGGAGAGAGAGAGAGAGAGAGAGTTCTTCACATCTTGAGAGCCTTTGGTATTTTCCTTGAGATCAAACCTTGTTTTATTCTTGAGAAGAGTGTTTTATCTCACCTTGTTAAGATATCCACTTCTATTCTTGTTTCTAAAATGAAACATCGACTCTAAGTCTTCTTCGGATCAATCTAGATTTGTGACTCGGTTGTCCATGGACTAATGCGTCCCCGGCACAGATAAAAATCCCACGCAAGCAGAGGCTACTAAACAAGAATTTCTGCATGTGTTTCTAGGAGATCCCATTTGTTTGTTTTCATTTGTGTAAGAAAAGTCTTATAAAAAGGCTCCTTCTTGTTGAATCTGTAATTCGATAAACGAGTTGTAATGGATTCCACAATTGTTTGCGTCAAAAGTTGGTTTTGTCATGGAATTCATTATATCTTCAGTCGATTACAATAAATTCAAAAGAGATAGCCTTTTTATAAGACTTCTTTTACACAACAAAATGAAAATTATAACTCTTGGGAAACAAATGCAGGATCGTTGTTTGGATCGCTGCTTGCGTGGGATCTTTGCCTGTGCCGGGAGCGCTTTGACTCGTGGACCACCAAATCATAGATTCTGATCGAATCGTGAGGGGTTTAATGATTTTGACTTCGTTTATCGAAGTGAGAACTTGAAACGATATCTTATCAAGGTAAGATAGTCGTTCTTCTTGAAATCAAGTCAAAGCCTGAATATCAAGGATTGACCGGAAGCTC